CGGCAGCCGTCAGTCCACTGTTGACTGGAGGTTGACAAAGTGGAAAGATTTGGAAATTGAACGTTTCCTTCAAGCACTTCTGAAGGGCCCACAAAGTGGGCTTTTGAAGTTTGATTAAGCTAAGCATGTGTTACCACATGCATGTAACAATCTGCAACATCGAGCAATACAAGCCTGCTGAAGAGGGTCCTTCTTGAAGCTGCATTTTGTCTCTGGCAAAGGTGCTGTTTTTGCAGACAGATTTGTCTCAGCCCATGCGCAACGACAGCCATGTGCATGTTCCCCAACAACTTGCCTACTTTCTAAGTGACCCAATGTCATTCTCGGGAGTTTTTTGCTTGGACCCTTTCTCGCTGTTTTGCCGGCGGAGTAACGGGGGGGAAAAAAGCGTAGGAGTTCAATCACCTTCGCTGATTTTTACTTACATAGTTCCACAAGCGTGATCTCTCCCAGCGAGTACCCGTGGTACCCTGACTTTGGGCAGCCAATTCTAAAAATGGGGGGAAGCGTGCACATTCCTGGATATTTATAGCATCTGGCTGACGCCATTCTAGTCGAAAAGTTGATGGAGTTACTTCGAAGTTGCTACGATCTGTGCAGCACCTGCTGAAAGACAATGAACGAAATGTGGCTGGTAACCTTCTTGATGCACCACTCACTAGCAGATTAACACGACTTGCTTTTGACGTAGGTGATTGTTGCTGTGGGTTAGAATGACAACAACAGTTTGAAACTGCCTCCACCTGCTTTCTGACGACAATCGCAACGTTGTGAGAGCATGAGCGGCGACGAATCAATACCGAATTAGGACAGATTCTATGATGACTGCTTTGTGCCTCCGGCTTTTTTTTCACACATTGGCAGTTGCATCTCTTTGCTTGTTGAGGATTGAACTTGTTTCTTCATCGTCGAACTTGATCTCAATCTCCAAGATTCTCTCAATATCTCGCTCTTCCAAACTATACACATGTATGACCGTTTTACCACCTTCGCGGAGATTGAGATTCATGGGAGACACTCTCCCGAGAGGCCAAACACTCTCCAGGGGGCACGAGTCTCTCCAGCCATCCATGGCATTTGCTTGCGAGGCAACGGTGCTGCACCGGCCTGTCACAACGATGTCAGAGCGATGCCGCCTGTCACCGAAGGCGCCATCGGAAAAAAGTGGGAAACTGATATGTTGGACATTGTTGGACAATGATAAAACAAGAAGCTAGTAGTAACAAGTGCCACGCTGACAAAGTAAAACCAGTTTAATTAGTGCTTGACATCCGTTTTCGTGAACTAATTAAACTGGTTCCTGGTTCCATTTGCAGCTTATTGGCACGGGTGCCAGATGCGACTGGAGGTCAGCTGCAGAAGGTTGCCAGGAATCTATTTGCAGGGTGGCTGAGGGATTTGTGTACAGAATCCTTGCAACCCGGTGGATCTTGAAATGATCTACCGGGCACAGTGGCTGCCCCCAAAACCGCCTGTCAGGATGTCATTGGCATGTCATTTGGAATGCACGTACAAGAGGTCAATGCCTTGATTGGTCGTGTCTCGACTGGCATGGAACACAACGCAGCCTTCGATCGAAAACCCTTTGGCCAAAACAGTCGAACTGTGAGCCTCTGGGCTAGTCGAAGGAGACAGGTGATATAGATAGCGATTCTGACTCGAGCCTTGTGCGTAAGTTCGATGACTCTTATGTTTACACCTGGCATGACACTGATCCAACCTGAGCTGTGTTCATGTCGCAGAGTCTAGCTGGCAACACTGAGAGTGGTCCTCTTTTTTGTCATGGCTTGATGCAGCCAAAACACGAATCCCCGGAAATCAGGATGGAGCGTGTTGTCCTTTGTGCATCCCACATAGCCCCTGGCAAGCACCTTTCGGAGCTAAGAAGCCATGTGTAGATGTGAAGCTTCTTTCAGTGTTCGCTCAACTGAAAGACTGTCGTTGGACAAAGGTTGGACTAGGACCTACTAGTCTGGGAACATTGATTTGAAAGCTAACCAGGAGAGCGCGGCCCATACTTCAGGCCAGTGAGCACTGGGAGGTTGCTGAATTCAAATGATTTGAGATGGGCCTGCCGTCTTCTGCGACAAGGCCAAGGGTTCCGCATAGTGATTTCTGGCGATGACCGGGGTGATGTCGAGGATGTGTGGTGAGTCGTTTTGTGTGGTGATCTGAATTGATCTGAGAGAGAGATGTGATGAATTGGCGGTGACTTCGAGGTAAGCTGTGCTTTGAGGTGTCCATTTATGGTGATTACTATAGGCAAAGCACCGCCCATTTGGGGCGGGGTGATTTGCAATAGTCACAGTCTTAGGCATTTCGCACGCTTGTCCCCTCATTCTCATGCATGTCATGCTTGCAACTCGGGCACAACTGCACAAAGGACAGGCTGTGGTAGCCTCAGTAGATAGATACAAGAACCATTGCGCCGCATTGTCTCAGCACTCATTAGGTGATATATGGTGAAAATCAATGATACTCAGCAATATCGATCTATGCCAAGGGCTGGCATAAATGCAACTTAACAGATCTTATTCTCTTATAGACTTCTGTATAGTGAATTGAGAGTAGATGGCACAGACCCGAAGAGGTGGTTTATATAAACCCCCATCTAAAGGACAACATGGCGTTTGAGCCATCTACTCTGAAACATAAACAATTTGTTAATTTGCATTGGCTTATCCACTGGTCTCTCACCATCGTGTTCTACTTGGGCGGAGAACCCAAGGTTTTTTGCATCAATGCCGGCAGCTGATGGTTCTTCAAGTTATTCCAAGCGACCATCGAGGACGAAGCGGCCGTCATGTGACCAACTGGTTCCCAGACGACTTCAGTCCGCGAAAAGGAGCGAGATCGACGACATCGACGTCATGGGACCCTGGAAAATGCTGGGCATGATAAGAGGAGAAGTAATTTGAGGATCTATTTGAATAGGCAAATACAGTGATTTCAGTTAAGTTTACGGTCACTTCACAAAGTTGAGAACGCATCGAAACCAAATCATTGGGCTAGGCCCTTCAATTGTTCTTCACACTCCCCACTCCCTCATGTGTGGGAGCGTCAACTCAATGCATCTTGAGGGATTTCCACTTCGAGTGGTTCCCACTAATCCGTTGTAGCGCCCGCTGTCGGTCGATGTTTCCACCACCTAACCGGGTGCCATGTTCACTACCCTTCCGCAGACGATCCCACGGACCCTGAAGAATTGGCCCACGATGGAAGGACACAATGGACTCCGTGGTGTTGAAGGGTGCCATTTTTCGGGGATCGGTGGTGGTTCGTCCCACACACGCTCACCGGTCGAGGCGCAGCAGAAGGACCCGGGCCCTTCGGTGGGTGGCTTCTGCCCAATGGGGGGCGCCACCGTCGACGCACCGCTGAAGAGAGGGACGAGCTCCTGGCGTTTTGAAGAGGAAGACTACTAGCCTTCGACCTACTAGCGATATGGGCTGCACCTAATAGCGATGGCCTCCACCTAATAGCGATGATAGCGATGGCCTCCAGCTAAAACCCGAGATGATTCCTTTAGCTATTGGCATCCGCTAGCATCCCCTCGCCCCAGAAAGAGTGGGAGGGTTTCGAGTCAATTCGGGGAGGATAGCACCTGTCAAGGGATTGATCTTGTGCTGGAAGAGTAAAGTTGCATGTCAGCAAGGAACGAGAGACGGATGCTCCTGGTCACCGAGCTTGGGCAAAGAACGCTGTTTTGTGTGTGTTTTTGGTGCCCGAACGGTTCAATATCTGCTTCACTCCGTGACTGACTCCGGGACTGTGAGGTATTTTTGTTGCGTCGAAGTGTTGTTTCGGTCCCGGCCCACCCAACTTGAGTTGCCGGTCCGGGAGACAGGGAGTCACAAAAAGACCGTTCAGTACGTAATGAGAGGTTCCTCAGATCCACCAGATTCCGTGTCCGGCCGTGAAAAAGGCCTTTTTGGGAAAAACGAGGCCACGAACGGTTTGAGGAAGCTTCCCCAAAGATCCAAAGGTTCTTCAAGAAGGAAACCGCATCTTGAGCCCATCGATGTCCAAGAGGATGTTTGAAGATCTGGTGGGAGCGCTGGGAGCTCTCAGCGCTAGCTCTCCAGCTCTCCTGCATGGATTGTCCAACATGGTGGGGGTGTAAGGTTGGTGATAAATCACCTACATGACAGGTTGATAAATCTAATTGAAAAAGATACAATTCTTCTTGTTTCCGGGCTTTCCAACCCTCTTGTGACACTTGTGTTTGGGATGGCAAAAGAGTAGTGAGATGGAACAACTTGGCGGTTTCGGTCGAGCAACACTCAAACGAACCCAATTGAAGATGTGTCGATGATGTTTGGCAGGAGAGCATCTCTATCCGACATCAGTGTCATGTCATGGAAGATGAGCACTTTGGCTGGGAAGATGGACAGAGGGCCCCATGGGTGGAGAGTGGCCCTGCTTGGTGAGCGCCTCGCCGCTCAAGCGGTCCTCCCATCCCACGATGGAAGGAATGATTCAGCAACGGAAGACCGATATCAAAAGGTGGATATCTCATGATCTACAGGGTGACATGTTCACAGGTGCATGTTCACAGGTGCAGGAGTTCTTCCGGTCCATGAAGTCCATCCCATGTCCATCCAAGCCCTCGATCGAGGGCCAATCTGTAAGTGCTGTGCTACAGTCCCACCTTGTCCATGCGCCCGTTGCAGTTTCTTCCTCCTGAAACTGTTTGACAGGCTGGTTTAGGCTCCCCACGCCCGGCTCTTGTGACTCAGAAATTCTATGAAATTCTTCACGAGCAGCAGAATCAACTGCAGCAGCCCATGGCAAGACCCTGAATCATCCTGAATCCAAGATCACGGAATAATCACATTCAAAAAGAAGCAAACATCTCATCATATCTGAATTAAAGTGTTTATACAATCCATGTGTTAGATTCCAAATAAACATGCTTTCAAGGCTGAAATGCTTCAAGAGCCAAGAGTGCCACCGCGTTTGAAATGCTCCTTTTCATCGCGTCGATTCGCCAATTCGCCATGTGGCCCTTGGCATCGATCCTGCTCTTCCCGGTGCTGAGCGATGCAAAGCTGCGCACAACAACGCCTCCGCCGGAAGCGGGCGTCGTCACGCCGTTGCAAGATGGGATTCCTGGTTTGGCAAGCAGGGTTTTCCAAATCATGCTAAATCCTCAAACCTTGAAAAATAAAAACAATATATACGTATGATCCAATATCCACGAACGCCGCAACTCGTCTTCTCAAGCTTCATGGAACACTGGGTGGGGGGTCTCGTCACCCTTTTGCAGGCTTCCACATACCTCGCTTGCCCAGCTCACTGTCATCCGAGCGTTCTCGCCCCTTTCGTCTTTGGATTTGCTACAGGTATCCTGTTTTGCATATCCCTGGTTTCCATCTGTGGTTGTCTCTTTCTTTGGCATTTACCTGCTTTCCGGCCTTGGATTTCTCAGTCTCCGGCCGTGCGCCGGGGTGCGCCGGGCTTCGAATAGGCTGAGGGGGTACTTGCATGAGCACTAAGGCTTCGTTAGCTCCGCTTCGTGCTGAGTTGCTCAGAGTTTCTGAGGATCTTGCATCCATAGGAGAGAGAGTCAAGCAGTTGGCCCAGCGATTGAACGAGCTGGAAGGTTCAGCGAGCGAGGATTTAGAGTGGGAGGTGATCGAGGAAGGGAACCTGCCCCTTGGGGTGTCAGACCTGGAATTCCCCTACCCAGGTGCAAGTCAGGTCCCGCAGGCACAGCCGATACCCTCCGTGCCTAGGTACCTGTCGGATTTGTGTCAGGAGAGCTTGAAGTCAGTTGCATCCATTTCCCCCCTGGAACGAGCTCAGAGGGCTTTCACTCAGGGACATCTGGCCTGGGTGGCCAGAGTGACCGGGCTGCACTATAGACCAGCAGACGCGGTGCCTGCGCTCCCGAGCGCTCATTTCGTAGTCGTAGTCATCCGGGGTCTGGGACTTAGTCAAGCTCTTAGGACAACCACCAAGCGTGAAGCCCCGTGCCTTGGCAGTTCAGGACGACACAGCTATCATTGCACGCATCTGCGTGCCTCCACTGAAGCGATGCGGGACCCAAATCTTCTAGTGTTCTCAATCCCTTCGGAGGTTTCAAAGACCGGAGGAAATTTGCAGGTTTTCGCTATACCTGTCCTGCAGAGGGACGGGGGATTTTTGGTTGCACTACCAGTGGAGTCATTTTCGAATGAAGCTCTGGAGACAGCAGCACATGCAGACGAGCACGAACTTTTGGGGCCTTCTCACACATGTGTCGCTCAGCTCAGCGAGGAAGACGAGAATGGCCAAGAGGTCATGATAGACCAGGAGATCCTGGTCCTCTTGGTGGATGTGTCGAACCAGGCACTGCAGGCTCTTAGGGAGTATGATCCAGTGACGGACTCACTGGAGACGATTCATCCTTTTGATGATCAGTTTCCCCTAGCACTGCCTACAGCTGCCTCTCTGGTTGCCGCTGCCAAAGCCTGGATGGGAGAAGAAGATCAGGGCAGGCTAAATTTTTACTCGGCTCGAGAAGAGCCGGCAGAAACTCCTGTACGCTCAAAAGCGGCTGCGAAGAAGGCCACCCCCAAGAAGATCACAAATGCAGTCCTGGCGGAGCAGGTAGCGTCCCTCTCCTCACAGGTGGAGGCCCTGATGGCATTGCAGGAGAATTCAAAGCATGTTAGACCTGGAGAACACGTCTTCAGCAAGTACAACCATGAGGCAAAATTCAATGCATTGCAACAAGACATGACGCTTACAAAGTGGTGCGAATGCTTGACCTCGGCAGTCTTGAGGACGAGGACTCCTTTTGCTGCCCACTTGGCTCAGACTTTCCACCTGCATCGTACTGACCTCAGTACGGCACTGGCCTTTTTTCCCGGTCCTGCTCCCTACTGGTGAGCATTGGGCACGGATGCCCTCAGACCTCTCTCAGAAGAGGCGTAGACAGGTCCACTTGAATCGTGCAGTCCACATCATTGTTTTGGCTTTGAACTACTACCACAATGGTGGCCCATGCAAGCTGGATTTGTTGGGGAGAGCTCCTTCTACTTCGCACCGGAGAAGGAGCTTGATAAGGTCAGAGGGCCAAGTTGCGATTCCATGTATTGCAAACTCTGGCCGTAGGTTACCTCAATTAGTTGCAAGGTTGTCAGAGCTTTCAGTGGCATTGACGGCTATGGGGCCCTCCTGTAACCCCTATGACCGAAGCTTCGATGGCTTTGAAGTGCTTCCGGATACGGAGGCTGATGAGTTGAAACCGTACAGGAACCTGGACTCATCCAGACTGGTTTTAACAGGCAGAGGGGCATGGGATGCCACAGAGTATCTCGAGGACGAACTAGTACTGGCCTACAGAGAGCCGGCCTCTCTTTTGTTCAGCCATGAACCATGTCCGTCACAGGTCCCAGCAATTTCTGACCATCCTTCGGAAGTGGCAGCGCTGGCGAGACTTTGGGACAATCAAGATCCGAAGATCATCCGCTTGCCCAGGACCACCGCAAAGGAGTTAGTTCTGGCCTCGGTACTAGTCCCACTCATGTGCGCCGAACTTAGTGCAGAGTTCAGCACTCAGGTTTTCTGTAGTGATGCCTCAAGTAATGTGGGGGCTTTTTGTGCAGCCACTGTGCCGCGTGCAGTCTCGAGAGTGCTTTGGAAAGTCTGTAAGTCAAAGGGTGCATACACACGCATGATGTCCCCGGTTGAAGCGGAGATCTTTAAGCTCGGAGGCTCGGAAGAGTTCGAAGGGAAGGAAGAGGTAAAGCCGACCTCGATCAGAAGGCCCCTGGCCTATCGGTTTGACTTTATAGAACTTTTCGCAGTGGCCGCAAAGGTCACCCATTCCATGGAAGCAAAGGGCTGGTCAGTAGGGCCCCCGACTTGAGTCGCAGCCCCGAATATGATATGACTTGCCATTATTTGATGTCATGGTTAAGCCATTTGATCCAAAGTCATGCCATAAAAAGTTTTGCCTGCGAACCACCGTGTACTACTTTTTGCATCATGCGACGGCCGCAATTGAGGTCAAAAGAGAGACCATATGGCTTCGATCCTAGCCATCCACAAACCCACACAGGCACCGCGCTTGCCCTTCGTGGTTTGCAGTGCCTTGAGTTGGGATGGAGACACGGGGTCCCAGGGTGGCTTGAAACTACGTGTCATCTAAGATGAAGTTTCTCCCACCTGATAAGACTCTTAGGGCCAAAAGGTGCGTGGACTTTTGTCGAACCGATTCGTGCCGTTTTGGATCCCCTCACTTAAAACCTTTTGCTTTCCTCAGCGTTTGGGCTCCCCTCGACCGTATCCGTCAGAGATGCGTCTGCACAGGCAGGCATGTGGAAAACTCACGAAGGCTAGTGCCATGTATACTGATGGGCTGGCAGACGCCCTAGCCACTGTCCTTTCAGAGGCCATCAATGCCAGGGCCAGCGCAGACATCGAGTGGGATCAAGTCCAGACGGCAGGGCTTGAGAATGCTTTAGTGAACCAGGTTGCTCTTGAAGCTCCCTGGTCTACCCTGAGGTCCTGGCCTTTTCGTCGCCCGGTCCACATTAATATCCAAGAAGCTGTCTCAGTCCTTAAAGTAGTTGAGCATTTGGTTTTGAAGTGGGGACCTCAGAGGGCAACCATTTTGGTCGACTCCAATGTTGTGAGGTGCGCAGTCTCTAAGGGACGCACTTCCTCGAAAGGTCTGATGCCTGTCATTGCTAAGGTAAATGCCTTGTGCCTAGCAGCGGGCGTGCAGATCTGTTTACCATTTTGTCCCACTAGACTAAACCCATCAGACGACCCAACCAGAGGAGCCGCCCTGAGAAGCCCCATTCAAGGCTGTGACTTGTTTAGTTTTTCGGAGGGCGAACTTGCGCAGCTCTCAACCTGCGCCGGCCTTAGACGTTGGAGCGCAAATTGGGTCCGCCTGACGCTCAGCTTGCTAGGGCCCGGCCTTGTTTTCTTAAAGGATCGAAGCCGCTTTCGATCGCCCTGTGCCTTGGATTTCAGACCGTCGCTTCAAACACACTTCGAGAAAGGTTTTGATCAGACCCTTGAATACCCAGAAGAGGGGCCAGGCACTTTCGATCCTGCTTCTTGGCACACGGTTCTGCATAACTGTCGGCTGGAATTTGATAGAACCTGGGGTTTCCCTGGAGAAGGTCCTTTTCCACTCCTCTTCATCTCTCTGCTCCTACTCCTCTGTTTGTTTCAGGGCAAGCGAGATGCGCCTCTCTTGTGGATTTCAGGAGCCATTTTGGGGGGGGGCCGCGATACGCCATGGGAATGCCACTGAAACCACGAAACTCTGGAGATAGAGCGAGAGCTGAGCACAGAGCCCAGAAGTTACCTTTAGCTTCAGGACGACCTGTACTGCAGATCACCGCCAAGCACCGAGAGGAACTTCTGGAGGCCTTCAGAGCCTGGCTGCTGACAAGGGGGTTGGAACCTGGTGACCTTTTTCACAATACCTATCAGACAGTAGAAGAAATCAACATCTTGTTGACAGCGTACGGCCGTGAGCTGTATCGGGCCGGCAGGCCACTCAACCATTTCTCGGAGACCATAAATGCAATAGCATCCTGGAAGCCACAGCTGAGAAGGGCCCTTCAAGGGGCCTGGGACCTGGCCTATAGCTGGGTCAAATCCGAACCATCTACACACCATACAGCTATGTCTCCCCAGGTTCTGATGAGCTGCATCTCAGTCTGCTTGATCTGGGGTTGGGTGCGTCTGGCAGGCTGCCTAGCCCTAACATGGGGAGGTTTACTACGGGCAGGTGAACTCCTACAGGCCCGACGCCAAGACCTACGGCTGCCGTCGGATCTGTCAGGAAGTGTGCCCTTTGCACTCCTTTCCATAAAGGAGCCGAAAACAAGGCACACAACCGCGAGGCACCAGTGTGCCAAGCTCGACATTCCAGACTTTGTGCAGTTGGCAGAGCTCGCCTTCCAGAAGTTAGCGCCCTCCGAACCTCTTTGGGACATGAGCGCTCAAACGCTCAGGTCTAGATTCAAGAGCCTACTACAAGCCCAACGACTTCCAACAAGCACTTACAGAGGGATGAGAGCACTTGACTTGGGATCGCTCCGCCCAGGCGGAGCAACGCACATATTACAACTGACTGAAAGTGGAGACTTGGTGATGCGCCGCGGGCGCTGGGCAAGCTACAGAGTAATGAGCATTTACATTCAAGAAGTCACCTCTACCTCCTTCCTGTCAGTGTTGGACAAGGACGTGAGAGACAACATCCTTGACCGGGCACAGTGCTTCTCTTGCTTTTTGGAACAGGCTAAGGCCTTTGAATCAGCTAGGATCCCAAGAGATGTATGGCTCTTTTTGTTTGGCGCCACCCAGAAGAAAGACGCTTGAACGAGCTGGGGTTGAATGAGAAGAACGGGTGGCTTTGCATTCCAGATGAGCTAAGTTTGCTCTCTGTGTGTGTACAACCGCATGAGCGGGTGGAAAATGGATCACCGAGTGGAGGTTGAGTTGATATATAATATATGTCATGTTCACTTGGAAAATCGCATACCCGGCACCAATACTAGGGGTGTCGAGGCGCAGTTGGATGCGCCAGAATCGAACAAACCTGGGCAATATGATGGAATATGTATTGCACCTTTTTCCCGGTTCCGAACGCATGCCACTTCAAGGATTGGAAAAGTGAATGACACCGAAGGTTGGAAGGGATGGGTCGGGCATGGGTTCGGAGCATTTCAACCAGGGCTTCGCGGGGGAGGGTAGAAGATCAACAGCCTCCCCAGGAGTGACATTGGGAAAGACGTTCTTTTCGTGCGCAAGTCCAAGAAACCCTTCAGACCAGGTCAGTTGGAAGTCAGCTTCGCGGGTCGGGGGGGTTCGAAGTGGGGGAAAAAACCACAGAAAAAAAAAGAAGAAAACACACACACATTGCTTCCTCCGTTTTCCCTATATATATATATATCGGGAGTTGGAAGATCGAACTCTCGTGCCTCTTCGTCTCAGCCTGTCCCAACTGGAGATGGAGAAAATCGGAAACCCCGTCTGCAGTGTCATTTCAGAGCATCAGTGGCTATCAGCGATTCAGCGGTTCGTTTGGTTGCTTTCAACATTCGTTCACAGCCGTCGACGTTTTTCTCCTTGTCCTCTCCAGGCGCCAGTTGCTCCCAACGCCTGTTCGAGCTCTTGGGCAACCCCTCCTACGACGCCTATACGGAGTGGGTCCTGATGGTTGGTCCTGGAATCGAGTGGCAGGGCTCAAACGGCGGGCGCTGACGACGCCAAACTGCCAAACCAAGGGCGATGTGTGATTTGCAGAGATTGCAAAGGTGGGTTGGTTTAGGGTTTAGGAGGCTCTCTCAGCTAATTGGGGGTTGTAGGTGTCCCCGAATTGGAGGAGTGATTGCATTTTGGCAAGCAAAAGTGAGGGATAGGCGGCTTCTCCTAGGTGAGAGTGAGCTGGACCACACATTGACCTACCCTGCATAGCATCTAACTGGATAGCCTCACTGGTTTCACTTGATCCATGGATCGGATCTGATGTATCTCATGGTTACCCTGGTTGCCTGGAGGCCAGGGTAGTACAGCTCAGGCTAGCTAAGCAGAAGCTTCTGGCTGAATGGTCTCCCCCTCTGGGCCAGGATTGTGTGGAGGAAGGGCTGAATCACAGCATCCTTCCACACAGCAGTGCTGCGATCAATGCCCAATGCTGGTGTAAGTGGAACATGTGCCTCGGGCTAATTCCATCCCGCGGCAGGGCGGTGACACGCATGAAGCGCATCCATTTGTGAACTACTGGTGGACAGACATGGGGACTCTCATCGAACTTCAATGATGTTAAATTGTTTCACTGTCCTTTGGCAGGACACTTGACTTTGATAACTCCTGATACATCATATTGTTTGCTTATAGTTGTAGACAAGTTCTATCACGTAAAAGATCCCGGTCTTTTTGGTCCTTCGGCGCCGGGTGTCGATGAAGGAAATACACCCGCATTGCACAAACAAATTGTATGCTTCAAGTGCGCAAGGAAGGAGCATGACACATCGCAAGAACAGTGATCTTGTGATCTTGCTGCACGTCGCCCTGTTGGAGGCTGTTCCTCGATGGTTTATGGATGTGAAAACGGCATCCCTGTTGGCCTGGTCACAGGGTTTGTTTCAGCATTCAAGAGCTTTGTAACCTCGAATCGAGTGGTCCGGCCCTATCCGATGCGAAATCAAAGCGATGGCCTCCAACCTAAGAGCGATGGCCTCCTTGGTCCTGCTTCAAGTGGAAAAGGTCTACAGTATAAGGAAGGCCGCAGGGAAAGGTAGGCCTTCACAAGGGCCCCGGGACTTGAAATCAACGTTGCCTTCTTTTGGGCATACGTAGGTCCGGTTATCAGAGACTCTTCTCAGAGAAGGTGACCACTCGTTTTTCATGGAACTAAACTAGTGGGAATTGGCAACATGAACCACTTTCCAGATTTTTTCTCAAACAGGTGTGGGGCTATTACCCTGCAAAATGGCTTCCCATTCCCCTCCCCAACATATTCCTCCCACCATTACGTTCTCTCCTTACCGATATGTTGTGTCCCATTCCCCGCCACGGACGGCTCCGCGGCGAGACACGGACGGATGCTCCGCCAGGAGCGGCTTCGTGCGCCAGGGCCTTAAAGCCATCTCTAGGGTCGATGTGGCGCGGTTGGTGCCGCAAAAGCCCTAGAGGTTGACGTGTGAATACGTGTGAATACGTGTGGATGTGGGCCATGTGAGGACTTTTGGGGAAGGCAGAACGTCCCCTTTGAGGAGAGGTGGACAAGAGATGTGACATGTAAAGTGGTGATGAGATGATACTCCTAGGTGGTGATTGCAACCTTTTGGGGCGTTACAAATGGCCTCTAGCTACTAGCAGCGATGCACTTGTTACTACTAGTAAGGCACCTTGCTACTAGGGGCTCCAGATCAGGTACAAGACGTTTGCATCCTAGTGCCGGCCTGTAGGTTGCAGCCTGGGGTACGTGCACACGATCAATATTCACAGCAGAATCGGGGAGCATCACAAACATGTTCAGCAGATCGGGTCGAGGTTCGCAGGGCTGCAGTGAGCACGCCAATTGGAAGTGGCTCATGCAAGTGGACTGCCATAGTGAGCCTTGGCTCGACCGTCCTGGTGTAGGATGGTATAGGGGCTTTCTCAAGTTTCTGCAGGATTGCACTTGTTACTAGTAGATTCTTGCTAATTACTATATACTAGTAATGCCCTTGTTAGTAGTAGATAATGCACTTGTTCCTAGTAGCGATGCACTTGTTACTACTACAGTAGATATGTGTTGTTCTAGATACCTAGAAAGGTGAGGTGTCGTCATGCATGTGAGAGGATTGAGAGGATTAAAACGAGGTGGACGCGGCAAAGAAATGATCTTCACATTCTTGGTGGACGATGTCGTGTTGCGGTGCTGGGCGCCCTGCTTTGAAGCACACCCATACCGACCAAACCATTCATTCACATTTGGGTGTGTTGGGGAGGTTTTGGTTGCGTGATGTTGCATGGCTGATGAGTATTTGGGAGAGTGTTGGGCTCCCTCCCCGTTAGATAGCTTGTTAATGCTATTTTATCTTGAATCATCTTTAACCAACCTGGGGCCCACCAAAACCAATCAAGTTCCAGGTGTTTTGCTCAGTTTCAGGTAGCCCAGGACTTGGGGTGAACGTTGGGGTTTTCTCCTTTGACCACAGGAGCGGAGGCTGGGCGTTTGTCTGAGAGCTTGGCAGGTCTTGGCACTCAGGGGAGCCAAACTGACCAGGTGAGCGAAACTTAGGATGCGAGTCTTTCGAACTCTCCAAGCATCCCGATGCGAGCGCCGCTGGTGGCAGAAAGACATGGTTCACCCACATGTTTCACCCTGCCAGTCGGACATGCTAGAATTTAAAGATATTTAAAGTATGATGGGTTGATTCAATATTGGATTATGTTTCGTGATCGAGGCCATTTTTCTGTGAAGATACAGCCCATGGTTTCTTTTGCCGAATTCAAGATTCTGTGAGGATTGCAGTGACGCTGGCGCTGCTGATTGCCGAAGCTGCCCTGCCTTTTGCTTTGAGCTGCTTGGCCACGTCCATCTCGCGTCCGCCTCGGCCTCGGCCGCCTGTCCAGCCAGAGAGCTGGCCGGAGCTCGGCAGCGTCTCGGGGTGTGGGCCGTGCGGAGTGGAACAACGCCGTTGGAGAGCTACGGCCTCCACGGTCGATGCCTGAAGAGCCATATGCTGCCATGGTTCTGATTGCCGATAGTAAGAGGGAGCACGGCATGATCTCAGATGGGCAAGGCTCAAGACCTGTTGGGGTCTACTTGGGTGGGTCGTGGACGAGCCCCACGAGCCCCACCAGCCCCCCCGCCTGTCCGACGGACCCTGAGCCAACCGAGGGGTGCCACTGGACTTCCGGGCTGTGAGTGTCATGACCAATGCCTACGCTACTTGGGTTGTTGGCCATCCAATCACACGCAGGCCAGTCCGAGACGCCCCAGTCCGGAAAGCAGTTTGGGGGAAAAACGGAAAGTTCGGGAAGGCCGAAGGCTGGGATGAGGTGGCCAGGAAACTGGAAGGTCCCCTGGGTAGATGTAGATTTGCATTGAACAGTGGTTCTTTCATGTTCTTTCCAATCTGTTCGGACGGGAACCAATCTGGCCAAGAGAAGGTGTGGGGGAAGGTGCGGTAAAAATGATTCCTTTGGATACATCACCGACCACCTTCCTCAGAAGGTATCAACTTATCATAGTAACCGAGTCTGTGGATGTCTTAAAACGCTCAACTTTGTGGGTGAGACGCTGGCAACGAAGGCTTGGAGTTCGTAGGCCTTGGACACCTCCTCCATTACGTGTTTCATTTTATACATGGGGCGCTGCAAGGTGAAACGGACACCTCTCCGAATTTTCGCTGCAAACAAAGACCTCCCATATTGTACGGGGTCTCACCTTTGAATTGCTTCCCCTTCAGCTCCAGCACACCACTTTGCAGCGCTGCACAGCGGAGGAGCCAGGCGAATCACAGAACAGTTCGGACCAGGTGGGGTCGAAGCCATGGGTGGAGCAGCCCCGGGCTTCTGCGGGCAAAGAGGAGAACAGCATTTGGAGATGTAGATAGATTCTTTTGGGCTTTCGAAAAGAAATGCCTGTCAAGCTGTTCACGGATGTTGACCCTTGACGAGTTGGGAAGCTCGATGAAGCTGGTGCTGTTTTCAGGCATGCAGATTAAACAATAAGAAAGAACAGCGGAACAGGACCAAAGAACAAGGTTGAAGTCCAAAAATGGGTGCCTCTCATTCGGTCTTATATGGTCTAAATAAGACAATATATTGTTATTGCTGTTTCATCCAGACACCAGACCGCTACAAACCCGCTTTTCGAGTGAACTGCGACCTTCACTTTTCGAGTGAACGTGTACCTTGATTCCATTGCGCCCACCGTTCCTTGAGTCCATTGAGAACCACGCAAAAAGCAAAAAACGATCACGCATTTGGTCAGTCGGACTGGAAAACACCGACTGCATGATAGACTACCAATGAAAAAAAGGCGGCCTTTTCTGTAAAACCAGTGACAAATTAGAAATGTACAGGTAAGGAGACCAAAGTTGGTTGGATCTGTAAAGAGTTTCATGTTTGATCCCCAGATCGAGGGGATGCCAACATCTCACCATGGTCACTCACCTTGCTTTGTTGGGGTCCTTTCAAGGCTTTGGGCAATCGGCGGGCCGGTTTGCCACCAATGATTTTTTGATATTTTTTGCGTCAAACGTCGGAATCCAAACGTCATGCCGTGACGTAGTCGGGAGGGTTACAGTAGCCAAACAAAACGAGGTTTTGACGGGTATGAACTGAGCGAGCGAGTGTCAAAAGAAAGAGAATAGAGAGAGAGAGAGAGACAAAAAAAGAAAAACAAACAAACAGAGTTAGAGATAGAGAGAGAGATCTCAGTCAGCGGGGACCCCTGAACTGAACCCATCTCCACCGTGCTGCCCACGCGCTCGTTCTCGGAAGCCACTGAATGGCGCGTGCAGGTGTGCGATGCCAGTTTTATCCGCAGAAGCCAAAAGATCCTCGACTGTGCAGACGTGCTTTTGTTTCTAGTATTCCATTGCATCTAGCTCGGTGGTTCCAAGTAGCTGTGGAAAGCATGAGGGTTTTGGGTCGGGATCTCGTCGCGTCGCTTGTGGAGCGGACCGTCCCGAAGTGGAAGGACCGAACCGGACACCCCGTATGGAAGGAAGACATTAACACGACTCAACATACGAAGCCACATGAGAGAGGTATACGTCCACACCGTTTTTTCGGCCCCACAAGCTCCAAAAGGACCTAACACCTGAAAGCGAACTCAACTACTCAAAGATGTTCACTAGCGATATTCTTCCGCAAGTTAGTTTCGGGAGGTGTCTTGCTTTGTGTGACTGTTCACCAGTTTTGTTTAGGTATGAAGTCTGATAATCACACATGAAGATTCCAACAAAGAAGGCTCCAAATGTTTAAATATGTTCCCCCAAAAAATACACCAACAAACAGGAAATCCGGCTCACTCCCCCCCCCTGTTGAATCATTTGGGGAAGGTGTTGAACACTTTCATAATCTGGGCATCTCACTAGTCTGGACAAAGCACCGGGTGAAAGAACTGCATCCTCATGACTGCCAGACTCCTAAGGCCAGTTCATCGGCCCTGACCACTAAAGAACGGTTTGGTTTTCGACGGAGTGACGGAGTGACTCAGCCAGGGGGAACAGCTGAAGCCCAAAACATGAACAGCTGACGCCCAAACTTCAGGTGTTCCAAGCATGTTCCATCACTCCAAGCATCTACCCAACCAAACCGGGCGCCCAACTGCCCATACACCCAACCCAATGCACAACTTCTTTGCAATTTCCCGGCTGTACATCCCCCAGGATGCAGGACTTCGGCAGCTGTGCCGCATCCAACTTCACGTCTCCTGGTGGAACACCCACGGGGCCGGGGGGGGTGGTGCTTTTGCTTCGTGAACAGGTGGGGTTAGGGTTTGCAATGGTTTGGAGGCTGGTTCATGTGCAAAGGTCCACTTCTGGATTGCCAAGATCACGCTGAGCGAGTCGCAGCCTGAATTCTTACCACTCAGATGACTACTGCTTCGAAATGAAATTCACCGCACTAGAAGACCTTTTGGGGGCATTGGTTTCCCGACTAAAGTTCAATAGGAAGATAAAGGTATCAACCTATATTGCATTAGCAACAAGAAGCTAGTACTGTATGGGCCCCTGGCATCGCTACTAGGAGCAAGAACGCTACTAGGGGCTCTTGGCCTTACTACTAGGAACAAGGAAGCTACTAGGAACTTCTTGTAATATTTGCATATTACAACCTTCATTTTTCAGGGAAACTGAAGGGGTCAGGACCTGGTTGAGTTTGGTCCAAGGTACACTATGCCCTCCCTCCAACCACAATTGTGTGGATTAGTAGGAAGATGAGCCCTTCCTTCAGAGTTCGGTGAGAGTCCTTCAAAAGTAACCGGTATGAAACCGGTATGAAACCGTTCGCATGTAAGTGTTGAACCGTTTCATGGGTCAAAAGCAATAAGTAATAGCAGTGACAATAGCTCCAACAGGTCCCTGGTTCACGACCTACAAGTGATCCATGGCCAGGGCCAGATGGTCATCCGCGCAGATGGTCATCGGCGAGTCATCCTCTCTACTAAAACCAAAGACCTTGGTCGCATCCCTTGTTCAGTCCATTACTTTGTTCATGCTTTGGGTACATGAGTAGTACACGGGTAGATGGCATGAACAAGCATTTGGGGCAAGAATTGGGAAAGATGTATTTCTGTGCTTGACTCAGCTTAAAGCTTCAAAACGGAATGATGACGTTGGAAAGGACGACTTATCGAAAGCAAGGGGCTTAAGCCGCCATTTGGACGAGAGGATTCTACACGCCCACCACCAAAAAGGACATCCATTTCTTGCTGGAGTTTGTCGGTTCCTGGCGGGGGTTTCCGGGGGATCCTCCCAGGTACAGCAACCGCTGGACTTCACTGTCTGACACCTACCAGTGCCTTTGTCAGACCAACTTGCAGCAGGACTGTTCGGGAACAAAAGGGACGAGAAGGCTGAAGTGAGCGACATCTATAGGTGTCAAAACAGAAGGAGCAGTGCTTGAGTGCTCCTCTCAGACACAAGGAATCTATGCGTTGATAGATGCCAGCCCCAGCTGGATTCTGGAGAGGGGTGAACTAGAGACGAAAGTGTCGTCATCCCAGAATTTTGTACAGAAGAGCAGAACAATGAGAATTTGGGATGCCTTTCTATCGTCCATCCTACACCACCTGATCAGGGTGACACAGGGTGAACAACCAGATTTGCTGGTAATTGCAATTGCTTGATGAAGTTCGGTATTTGCATGATTCGGATGTGCAGGGGGTTTTCTCCAAATCGGTGGTGTCCGCACGAGTTCATTTCAGAGATCTTCTGAAGCTCCAGTGCCAGGAGCTTCAGAAGAGGAACTGTTGCGAGGACTCCCACAGCAACCTGTCAGCGCATGGATTCTGCCAGGCTGAGCCCGGTGGCGTCGTGCACGTGGACCCACCGGTGGCTCACGACCGGTGTCGGGCGAGTGCCGTGTGGCCGATGGGAATGGATGCGCCGGCCGGCTGGCTTCACTCGTGAAGATCATGAATTGGGTCTTAGTCAGTTCTGTGTCATCTGTGTCTTTCTTCGAATTGTTTTTGTTGGATTCCGAATTCAAGATCCGACAAAACGGACCGTCTTCGTATCAGGAGCACGACCTTTGAAGGAAGCACAAGCTGACATACTTGCACGCCCTTGCATCGGTCATGGGGGGGTCCAGCAATCCGATCTCATCGGTGGACACGTGTGGACACTGTTCCTGGAATATGATCTTGCTCGGAAAGCGCCATGGCATGATAACGATGACGAGTTCCCATGAGTTCGATGAAAAGATGTTCTGTCGCCTTGCTTTCAGACAGATGACGAACGCCTGGGCTACAAACCACTGGGCTCCACCGAACGGCGGGGAAAGCGGGTGTCACGCCGCGCCGCTCTTCCAGGCCAATTGCTCCTTGGACTGTCGCAGCCGTGAGGCCATCGAGTGCCTTGGTCGTCTCAGAGCACCGAAGGAAGCCCACCGCGACAGGAATTGGATCGCCGCTGGGTGGTCGCGTTGGGTTGGTGGCCCGAAAGACCTCCATTCTCGGATTTCAAGGGACATAGCATTCGGCATAGAGGGACGTTTATTGTAAGGACGCTACTAGGAGCAAGGACGCTACGAACGGGGCTCCTGGCCTTACTAGGAGCAAGGACGCTACTAGTTTGTGTCTGGTTGAATGTCTTTCCATGTCTCCATGTGTCTTTCCATGTCTCCATGTGTCTCCAATCTCCACTGTTTGGGGAGCTGCCTGAGGTGCCAAACGAACTGCACCCAGTGGTGCCAGTCGGGCAGCTTCACTAAGCCGGACGCGCCGGACCCGTGGGCCGGACGCGCGCGCGCGCGTGGGAAGCCGTGAGTCTGGACTCAGAGTGGTAATGATGTGGTAAGTATTACGAACAGTTCAATGGTATGGCAACATGTTTATCCATTTTGATATGTTTGTTGATGTATTTGTTAATATATGTCGTTGAGATTTTTGGATTTGACATATTTAAACATAGGTATACTATATTTACGTTAAGTATAATATGAATATGAGTATATATATATACATGTGTGTACTACGACAACCAAGTAGGCCCCTGCGCATTTATTATCACATCTTCTCACATCCTGCGCAACTCAAGTTTCTCCAGTCCGGGCACCTACTTTGCCCCAGGTTCCCTCGATCAGACTGCATTGTTCGGTAGATCAACAGCGAATCCATATGGCCAAGAGCCTGCTGTGGTGTCAGGTGCCCAAAAACACCTTTGGACATCCTTGACCTTGCCCAAAGATCACCCGAGAGTTCACTGAATCTGCAGGGAAATCTGCGAATGCGAGTGCCCCGCGTGATGGGTGCAATGCAATAATTCACCCAACCTGCACAGGGAAACATCAAACCGTAAAGTCTATATTCGGCCTTTTAGTGTGGGAGGAAGGAACCGGTTCGCATCTTCTGACTACGATGTTGAAGGAAGGATCCATGGAACCAATGATCAGACAGAAAACTGAACACGGTGGCTCCGAGGCACTAAAACTGCCGTTTCCTTCGCCGAAGACATCAACGGGACCCCCAGACTGGATCATGATGGGGGGCCTGGATGGGACTCGTCTCAAGTGGGCAAAAACTGAAACCGCACCCTTGTTATCTGTGCATCAGGATTCAATCCTCTCCTCCTTTTTAGGTTTCCTCTCGGTGCGATTAGCAGATATGATGTCTCAGGTTCTCGAACACTCTCAACTCCTCCGTCACGTGTCCGACGCGGACCAAAGCACCGTCTCAAAACACCTCTCCTCGGGCCGCAGCGTGCACGCCCACGCCCGGGAGGAGTGCACGGAGAGATGCATGGCTGATGCGGCACCGTGCCATCGCTACAAGGTTTGTCGCTACGGCGGCAGAACCGACGGAGAACCGACGGTGTCGAGGCGACCGAAGTTGAAGGAACCGTAGAACCGACCAGTATAGCTATACCAGATGAGGAATCTACATGCAACGGCGGTGAACCCCGGTGAGTGCGGGTAGGTCGACCTGGATTTGGAAGATGCTTAGTCGGAGAAGTATGCAGAGACCAGATCCATGCAATGCTCGATGTAGATGTTTTCCCACTAATCTGCACTCTTGATAGGATTTCAATTTAGCTTCAACCCCCCATAGGAAGAGGTTTTGCAATCCACATCTGGGGGGGTTATGAATATGGTTCCCACAAAAAACTTGTCCGGCTTGATCTTGAAGTGTTAGAAATCAAAAGCCTGAGATTCCTTAAATTAAAACTTGGTCGCAGGTACTCAGCTGAGAGCTCTTCCGAAGTATTGAAGCTGTCAGAGCTTTAGAGGACAAACTGTTCTGGGAGAGCTTCAAGAACAGCGAAAAACCTGACTGAAGTTGTTTGGACGTTTGACTGGAGATGTTTGGAGATTAGTTTGGAAAAATCCAACTGAGGTCGGACCCGTTTTGTTCGGAACTGGTGGAAGGATGCTTTTCGAATTTGTTCGACTGTTCGATGGTTTTTGGAGTGTTTTCTCCAGTCTGGTTTCAAGAAGAACTGAAAGGAATGATGATGTCATATCATGTCATATCTATACTTGTTGTACTAAGGCCCGGCACCGAAGCCCGCCTTCCCCTACGTTTGTGACTTGGATGTGAATACAGACTGGACTGTCTGGGTTCATGATGGTGTTTTTCCCCTTCTACCGCAGAGCCCCTAGTAGCGTCCTTGCTCCGTTCGTAGCGATGCCCTTTGTTACTAGTAGCTTCTTGTTGCTAGTAGCGATGCCAGGAGCCCCTAGTAGCGTCCTTGCTCCTAGTAGCGGTGTTTGTTTGAGAGATTCGTCATCAGAAAACTATATATACGCTCCTGCAGCAGGTGACGATGGTGGAGCGCCGAGCCCCAATGGTTGCTGCAGCGGTGTCTTCGATACAGACCGCTGCCCCCCTCTTGCATCTTGGACAAAGGGTACTAGAACCGGAAAAGAGGCAGACCTTTGATCATGGATTTGAGTATAGCAGCATGAAAAACCAGGCATTTCTCATCGCCGTCTCTTTTCGGATCTACACTTCCGGAACACAGACAGACCGTTTTCCGTAGGTCACATGGTCTTACCCGGTCAGAGGGCGCTTTCTGTGGCCTGGCTGGACCGTTTCTCCTCGGGTCACCCAGGAAAGACCATTCTCTTTATAGTCGACTCCCAGGGTGGTTGAGCGCGAGGACGAAGACCTCCATCTCGAAGACTCGGCCCGCTGGTGTTTTCACGTCGTGTATTTGTAGTGTCCGTATACTTTTGACTGACGCCATGGACTGAGGCCCTTTTGGACAGGACTTTTGATGCACTGGCGGTAGTTTCCGCGCTTTTCAGGTGCAAGGTGCAGTTCCGGACGACGGTGCTGTCGCAGACGGGACTGAGCGCCAAGTGCACCTGTGCTGGGTGTCCAGCGACAGAGCCGGATGCCAAACGCTTGATGAACAAGACCCTGATGGCCACTCGGTCCAAAGGAGAAGTTCTTCGAAATCAAAACATATCAACGCCTTATAAGAAGAACGCCAAAACCCGAGAGCTTCGAAAAACGTTCCACCTAAGTTCCTGCAGCTCCTGCACTTGATCTGTTCATCGCTCCAAGCTCTAAAAGGACTGTATATGAGTTCTCCATAGTTCTGCTATGATCGCTTGTACACGAAGGGCTCCTTTAGATGAAGCTTTGCTTCACTGTGACCATCTCAGATCCACCCGCGAATAGGTTTTCAAATGGTTTCAGCTTTCTCCATATATAAACAGAATTAAACAGACACATATTCTACTTGGAACGGCCTTTTTGAGGATTTGACATGTGAAAGTGCGAAAGTGCCACATGTCTTGCATTGCTGGCCAGTTGAGGGGGGGAGCAGATTTGCACGATATTATGAGCACGAGAACTCATCAGGGGCTTCCCAGCATTGTTTGGCTTGCTTGCAGCCATGGGTAGGCACCATATGTTCACCTCTCAGAACTCTTGACCCAAATCACGTTAATGTCAAAGTCTGTTCTTTTGCCCAGACATCACCCAACTGCCACCCGGTGTTTATATCGTTAGGTAGGCCACCCCCACCTCAAAAAAGGTGCGCTGGGCCAAGACCATGCAAGAAAAGGGCACATGATGCATGCAAAAGAACAACGAACATAACAAAGACGTGTTCTTCACTTTCGTCTCCCTCCGTCTTCGTCAGTGCGGTCCTTCTCGTCTTCGCCCCCAAGGAGGTCTTTGCGACTTGGAAAAGCGCTTTTGGAGTTTGGGGCCGAACGGTGGTTGGAGGGGTTGGGCAGAAACCCGCTCGGGTGCAGAGTATATGAAGACGACGCGAAAGAAGCCGCGGCAGCATCGGTTTGACCGCTTGAAACGGACCGTCTGGCAAATGATGATGGAGGGATCGAAAGGGACTTTGGGTCCAAAGAGACTTCGGATTGCGATGTCGAAGACGTCCTTGGCTGCGTTGCTTCACCGGCTGCGCTCGAGTGGGGCTGCGATGATGTTCCTCACCTCTTCGCTTTCTTTTTCGGAGCACAGAAACCCGAGGGTCGCAGGGGCCATTTGGGACCCTTAATCCCTGGGGACCCGACAGGGATCTTGCACTTCAGTGACTGAGGAACGCGCCGCGACGAAGCAGATGATGTTCATCGTGGTGACTCGACACCTGAATGGAGTCAATCAGCAGATGAGGTTGCTCTTTGCCCAGCAGTGCCCTGGCGGCCGAAAAAAAAACGACACACGCGACACCACACGTGCGAACCTGTGCTGAAACACGTGCGCCGAGCATTCAGCGTGCTGTTTTTTTCCAGGGTTCCGGAACGGCTTCTTCTTTCGGAGGTTGAGCGTCAGCCAGCGGGTGAAATTGGTGACATTCTCGGTCTTGTGGGGCATCAGAAGTCGGGAAAGAGAGAAGCCTGTCCAATCTCCAGACTCTTGGGTGTTGTTTAAGCTGCAGAACGTGAAAAAGTACGACCAGAAGCGTGCAAACCGTGGGTGCCCAGAAATAGGTCAGAGTAAGAGTGAACAATGTGGGCAGAGGGATACAAGAAATTGGCTAAGCCGGTTCGCACGCGTTGTTCTGCTAAGGGGTACTCGTACCTGCTGGCACCCGTGCAAACAAGTACCGTGCCGTTTGTAAAGACATTGCCAGAGACCCGGGCAAAATGGAAAAGGAAGAGAGAGCAATGTGTTTGATGATTACTGTTCTCACCGCGGAAGTGCCTCGGGGGTTTCCCCCCGGAACCGCCCGAGGGGGCACACCGCGCCTTCACCAGCACAGCGAAATTGGATATCCGGGTTATTAGATGCAAGATAATACTAGAGCGGCGCCGAAATTGGTGCTGGAGAGCCTGTCAAATCGGAGCATTGTCGGGCTACGGTATGTTGGGCCCTGGAGCAGTGCCTTTCGTGACTGCTCAATCTCATGGGCCCCGGTTTGAGACACCGAACCACAGCATGTGGCCCAATTGGGCATGTTCATCGAGGTTTCATGCCAAAACAACGGCTCACCCCAAAAAGCATGAATCATCCCATTTCGTCCCCAGACACAAGTGGGCCCCAGATTTGGTTGTTGACCCCAGAGAAACCACCGCGGTGGGCCTGGGCAGCTTGGCCGTGGGCGACGGGAACCGCCCCATAGGATGGAGGCCATGGAGCAGGCGATCCGCAAGTGCCCTGGCCAGATGTGGGTCAAGCGCACTTTCAACCAAGACGGCGATGTAAAGTGATGTTTCTTTGATAGCCGTCTTCCATAGAAAGTGGCACTTGTTATGTTTTTTCTATGTGAAGTGGTACTGGTTTTTCCTGTGCAGATCATGTGCCACCTATAGAACGTACATTCCCTCCGTTTCGGAGCGCTCGCGCTCCAAACTGGCAGACATGTGTGCGACCAAGTGGAAGCCTTCCAAGAATCTGTGTGAATGAAGTATAATGAAGTGTGGGAGGGGAGAGTGATTCCTCCACTTGGATTGGGCAGCGAAGACGCGGACCTCAATTTTTGAGCCCGCGTGAAATCCGTACACCGAAACGTGACAACCGTGACAACGACCCCAAGAGGACAAATCCCCAAGAAATCGGTGAAATCACTCAAGGCGCCATCTGCGCAGCCACCTGCGCGAGGTACCGAGGTACTGGGCTGCTGGATTGGAACTTGGTCCATACATTGAGGACGATTTCCTACTACTACTTTCAGAAGCTCTCCATTGCTGCAGTACCCTGGAAAAACACAATGCAGGCGGAAGTGCACCCCTCCAAAAAAAAGTGGAGCCTAACAAATGAGCCTGGGAATCTGAGAAACAGAGAGGTGGACAATGGTGGACATGTTCATCTCTCGCCACACCTGACCATTTTCGGGTCTGACAAAGCTTCAAGTCCACTTTGCCCGGGTTCATCGCCTACTCAGGTCCCTACTCAACACTCGTTGGCTCCCTGCCCGAAACTGGTTTGGGGTCGCATGGTTTATTAATTGGGTTCCCCCATTCAGATCATATCCCCATCATAGGTCTACCTCAAGCACTTGAGTCAATCGCCATGATCGCCTTGAGGGCGGCGTTCGCGGGCGGCGCAGGGTGGGAAGAAGCTGAATTTGTTCGAAGCGGCAGGACATGCCCTGCGTGAGTGGGAAGATTCCTCCGAATGTCAGCCACGTACTTGGCGACTCTACTACGGAACCCTCTTGCAACATTTGGGCACAGCAAAGTTACTCAGGATTGTTTGGACTGACACCTTTGTGTCTTCGCTCGAATTGAGGATCACGAAGTGCTCGCTCTGACCAACTCGTCAACGACTGGCATGGTGTGGTTTCTTGGCGCTAAGACTGATGGATGCGGGCCTCTCAGGGTAAGACAGGACAAGGACAGCGGCTCGGGCCAACCAGGCTCCTAGAGTTCTAGAGTGGTTGATCGCTCACATGGTTGCAGGAGCAAGTGGTAAAACAGATGTTTGGTGCTATTCCTGTTTTCGGCACCACACCACCACCCCACCACACCTCTGCTTTCACTGAAGACAGCTCGCAGTTTTTTCGTTCGGTTTTTGGTCACAGCAAAGCTCCCATGGCGACCAGACACCGATCACTGCCGCGAGCTGCTTCGATCACTGCCACGTCCAGGTTCGCCTTGATCTCATCGGTGTGCATCATCGCAACTGTGGCAGCTTGGCACCCATCCCTACAGGTCCAGTCTGAGTCTGACCCACCAAACCTGGTCCTAAGAACAGATCGAAATGGACGGGGGGAGCACGCTTGTGCACTTGTGGCTTGAGCACCGTCGCAGTGCATGTTGAATAGGGTGGAAAAAACACCAAGGACAAGGAAAAGTATTCATGAGTCAAGTGTTTTAGTAATATATCATATCTATATCATATCTATAATATATATATATGGTAGTTGATGAATATTTGAATGCGTCAGGCTTTCAAGTCTTTCGTTCCATGAACCGGCTATGTTTGAAGAAGCCGGCTGGTGCACCTGCGACATGTCAAGTGACTGTGCCGGTGGCTGTGCTTGATCGAGCTGGGTTCAAGGACCGCATCCGCGCTTGGGTGCATGAGGTGTCGAAGAAGATTGACGTCTCCCTTTCGAAGCATGAGAAGCGTTTGGATGGGATGTTGGAGTCGGCGTTGAAGAAGTACATTGGTAATTGGAAAGCGAGGCATGGGAATGCATGGGAAGGATTGCTAGTTGTTGGACGACGAGGATTTCATTTTGCTTCGCTGTCGGCGGCGCGGAGCACGACCGAGGACGGCTTGTTTGGCACTGCTTTAGATCATTCGAGGTTGAGTGTAAGAAGCTCTTCGTTTGTTAGCGCGAGTGTGGTGCTGTAGGCCCCACCCCTCAGGATGCAGGGTGAGTGTGTGCTTGAGTCCCCCCCGCAGGATGCACCAAGCTGCAGTATGAGTCAAGATTGGCGATATAAGTGTGCATTTGACTGAAAGTGCACAAGTGCGTGATTTCTTGGGCACGCAAGTGTGCCCAGCCAAACACTGCGACGAGAAATAGAACGCTTGGATCAGACGGGCACAACACAATTTGCAAAAATAGGCTGAAAAGAAGGCGCCCGCGAAACGCAGCTTGAAGGCACGCAAGGCAAGGCTCGCTTTCACCTTGGTGAGCAGCGACGGATCGTGTTCGGACTCCTTCACTTCAAGCTGAAAAAAGGGCACCGTCTCACCTATCTCCAAGGGGCGCAAAAGAGCGACAGCCGGCTGGTCAGCTGGCACACAGGCTCAACTTAGCGGAGGCCACTACTTGGAACTGGAAAGCGCATGGGCCCCAAAACTTTAAAGCACGTTTAGTGTTGAGATCTGACAAGTATTGAAAAAAAAAATGTTGATTATTGCTTGCTTTCACTATGGCTTCTTCATGAATTCGATCACTATGTATTTTTTGGAGCTGATACGACCCGTACGACCAAGTTTATGGAATCGAAAGAAAGCAAAAAATGATCCCTGGACAAGCAATAAATTTGTCATGGACTTGTTGTATGTTTCATGAAATTTACGAAAATGCTTAGAAACGCTTTCGAACAACTTGTGAAAATGATATCACAATTGTGTAGCTTCAAGACAGTCTGTAAATTATAATATATGTTTCATGACAGAATTTATGAACGTTTGAAAGGTTTATGCAATCATTAATGTCCAATTCCACGTAGTTGCTTTCGCATTAATGCCTCAAAATAGATCTATCTTGAGGTGGCTTTACCGTCTTGTAGCATTTCAAGTTTAGTGGAAACCACTAAATTCAAGTTCCACCTGCCTGTCAACTCTTGGCTGTTGGCACTGGTGCACTGTTTCGATCTGGTGTAACCCGCGACCTGGATGTGTATGAGCCCCCAAAACAATGTTTACCGGAAGCCACCTGACTATTAGCTCTTGGTCTTGGTGTTCCATGGTTTTCCTGGGTCAGCTTTTGCAATGTCTGGAAATTCCATGTGCCCTGTGACATCGGGGGGGAGGGAGGTATACCAGGCATGAAGAAGCGAAACCGCACTGCATTCATAGGCAAACATGCACACATGCACACACCGCGGAACGATCCATACCAAGGTTTTTTGCCACACCCAACCGTTCATCGTTAGTAAAATGAAGTCGAACTGACCTGCAATCACTGTCTGGTGGGATTATGTCATGCCTACGAGTCACTCGTGAACAAGAAGAACATCGAAGTCCAGTTCTTTTTCCGATAGGAATCATGTCCTGTAGATGTGTTTCACGGGGATGGGGCGCATGTTCTATTTACATCTAGTTACATCCTCCAAAAACCATCCAACACCCCTTTCCGAGCCTCGCTTGGGCCACCTTCGCCGTGTACGAACCTACCAAGCCGTTGCGGAGTGTCCCAGGTCATAGGAGTACTGATCTCCAAAGGCCTCAGCCACGCGCGGAGCCAAGCCACTCAGGCGCCGGTCCCCGCACGCACACAGTGCGCGGCCTGGAGCGGCGCTTGCGTTGTACGGAATTGGTGTGCTGTGAAGTGATGGAGTGAAGATGGGGAGAACATGGGAGAGCTGAGCATACGACTTCGGTCCAAAAAAAACACAGACTGCTCACACCAATGTTCTGTAGGGCAGCTATGCAAGTTTTGTGGGAAACCCACAAAGATCTCAGCCATCACCCTAGCTCGATGACGTGTATGTTTGCCAGTTACGAAAGCAAACGCTTGTGAATATGACAGAAGA